TTTTTTTTTTTTTTTTTTCTGAGACAAGGTTTCTCTATATAAAAGTCCTGGCTGTCCTGGAACTCGCTCTGTAGACCAGGCTGGCCTCGAACTCAGAGATCTTGCTGCCTCTGTCTCCCAGGTACTGGGATTAAAGGCATGCACCACCACCACTGGTCTGAGTTCATTTTTGCTGTTTGTGTGTATTTTATTTCAGGGCTGACCGCTTTGCACTAGGTAGCCAACTGCTGTCTAATTGGACTTAAGGCCCAACAGGAGGGAAATCACGCCTGGTATTAGAAATCTAATCAACTTCCAGGGACTAGTGAGGTCATGGATCATAGAAGAGAATCTACTACCGCTACTTTGCTAGATAAGCATAATTCCCTACTATATTCTAAATTTTTTTTTTGAGGGGGGGTTTCGAGACAGGGTTTCTCTGTGTAGCTTTGGACCTTTCCTGGATCTCACTCTGTAGACCAGGCTGGCCTCGAACTCACAGAGATCCACCTGCCTCTGCCTCCCAAGTGCTGGGATTAAAGGTGTGCGACACCACCGCCCAGCCCTAAATTTTATCCTTACACCCACAGATAAGTGTAGCCACCACCCCTCACCAAGGAAGCCTCTCTCTACAGCAGATGGAGACCATCACAGAAAACTACAAGTGGACACAATGCAGAGCCCAACCAATCTTAGGGAGCCTAGCCCCAATGGATAGTTGTACATCACAACTCCTGCATCTATCTAGTCTATATTGCAGAACAGGGGGCAGAAAGATTTTAAGAGCCAGAATACTTGGGAGTCCTGTGAAACACTCTTCCCTAGGTATGTCTGGACTGCCTTTTTACTTAAAGTACAATATCAAAGTTTTACAGTTCTCAAGTATGTTGGTTGGCCTATTCTCCAAATTTCAAGTAGCTAGCCTCTACAATCAATTGAACTATTTGCTTACAATAAATCAATCTCAACTTCTACCCTATCTCCCCTATTTCACGTTCTGTTGATTCTGCTACTCGGGAGAACCTTTACTACAAGATTTTAGTACTGAGAATGGGTTCTAGAGTATAATCTCCCCCCTCCCCAGCCGAAGACGGAACCCAGGGCCTTGCGCTTGCAAGCGCTCTACCACTGAGCTAAATCCCCAACCCGTATAATTTTTTTTTTCCTGAGACAGGCTTTCTCTGTGTAGCTTTGGAGCCTGTCCTGGAACTTACTCTGTAGGTCGGGATGGCCTCGAACTCACAGAGATCCGCCTGCCTCTACCTCCCAAATGCTGGGATTAAAGGCATGCGGCGCCGCCACTGCCGTCACTGCCACCACCACCCGGCTCAAGAAATTTTTGAATTATAAAAAAAGCTTAGCCGGGTGGTGGTGGCTCATGCCTTTAAACGCAGCACTTGGGAGGCAGAGGCAGGCGGATCTCTGTGAGTTCAAGGCCAGCCTGGTCTACAGAGCGAGATCCAAGACAGGCACCAAAACTACATGGGGAAATCCTGTCTTGAAAAAAACAAAAAAAATTTTTTCATATAATATATTTTGATCAAGTTATTTCCTCCCAACTCCTCTCCTTTTTCCTACCCACCCAACTTCATGTTCTTTCTCTCTCTCTCTCAAAATAAAAAAAAAATACCTGAAAACCAAAACACATTGCTATCCCCATCGATCAGGCTATTACTGAACCCTCCTCAGAGCAGTTTCTTCTTGTAGTAGATGGTAATTAACACAGAGACCCACAACTGGACATGGTACCCAGAGTGAGAGACTTTGGCACACTCTGCCCTAAAAGTCTTTAACTCTACCTCTGACACCAAAGGCTCAGGGAATGTACTCAAGAGTAGAGTAGAATCTTACGGATAAGTTTTCTGAATTGGTTTTGATATAACTGGGATTAGTTCTCTAGTTGGGCTAAAATTAAAGATGCTATTTCAAGAAGAGTCTGTGGGTGATGTGGAATTCAGATACAGAATCATACTAATCAAATACTTGTAAGAGACAACAATCTGACAACCACATATGTGACTACTTTTGTCAAAATGAGTACAATCGATTTGCTAGATGATCCTAATTTTGCTGTATAAAATAGTCAATGGCAAGGATGAGTTCAATCACAATATAAACGATCTGGTTTCTCTATTTGCCCTGAAAGATACCTTTACTTCCTATAGCCACAGGCCTGACCTGAGATTGCTGCAAAGTAAACTTGGAATTTCATCTTGTGAGCAGATAGATTACAGTGCAAATTAAATGAGTAGCTCCATGAGGTACCTGCTTGGAAAGCATGGGCACTACTGGCTATGAGGGAACATGACTCTGGAGAGTGGAACTGATTCATATAGTAAAAGCCTGAAGAAGTTGGAGATGCCTAAATTCCCAACTTTTTGCCCATGGAAGCAGCCACTACATTCTTATCTAAGAATAATCCAACTTTTCATGAACAAACTGAAATGGACTCCTCAGAAGTAGCTACAAGAGAGTTCTGATTCATTCCTACCATACCCCTTTGCTTCTAGGTCTATATACATTCAAGTATCAGAATATTCCTAAAGGTGAAATACAAAGCATGAACCATAAGGATTATTCTACCCTCTAAAAGAACTATATGACTTTTCTAATAAATATAGACCAAAATACAGGGATAACTATGAGAATAGATATTAAAGGTATAGAATATGGTGGAAGGGACATAACATTCACTCAGGCCAAATTTATTGATATGGATCCAATAAGCAGAGGATTTATAGGTGAAGAGTTAAAGTATTCTGCTTGTTTAGTTCGTGCCTAAGACATGAATCAAAACATAACCTATACTAACTGAAGTTAAAATGTTGGACCTGTACTGATCTGGCACACAGGAAGTAATCTAATGGCTTAGGGAATTCACAGTGCTCAAGGTTTGTCATTTATAACCCATTCATCAATAGTGGGAGGTTCCAGAGCACAATGATGATGAAAAACAACTTTTAAGAGGAACCCCAACGTCCTTCCTCAGCTCTCTGATCACTTTTCTCTGTAGGCCAAAATTTACAGTGGTAGTTGCTACCACTTATTTGGGAAACCTAAATACAAAGGGGGAAGTGGATGCAACAGTAGCAAGAGCAATGCGGAAACATTTTATCATCAAATACAAGGAGAGTACTCTTATTTGATTGGACAGACAGCCAAATACCAACTCGAAGAAACCTATAGTTTTGGTTAGCTGATCATGGTGCTCGTATAAATGATCTAGAAGGGATATCTACTATATTCTTATTTGATCTACATAAATGAAATACTTTAGTCAAATGATCAAAAATCTAGCACAATTAGTAAAATACGATTCTCAACTGGTATCCAGATTTGTGATACTTGATAAATCTAGAAACCCTTGAATGAAAAGAGGAGGTTGGGTCAACTTAAGGAAAGATGCTGACACAATTCCATTCCATTTCTATAGAGGACATGGCTCTTGGAAAGTGAGATATCATATGCTTAAGAAGTTCTGACTGAAAGTTACAACTACTGGACCAGATGTGGTTAAAAACAATTCTTCTCTTGGTATAGGAATCAACTTTCCCCTTTGTGTATATGAAGGCTACTGATTTATTTGTGTTAATTTTGTATTCCACTACTTTGCTGAATGTGCTTACAGCTTAGGAGTTTTCTGGTGGAGTTTTTAGGGTCTTGTATGTACAGAAACACATCATCTGAATATAAGGATACATTTACTCCTTCCTCTCCTATATTTATACTCTCATTTTTGGGTCTCTAGACAATTTTCCCTGCTCTCCAGGTTTCAGATTACTTCTAGAGGAGGCTTCTAGAATCAGTTGGGCTAATTTCTTAAATAAAATACCCTTCCATTACTTTGTGTCTTTGTTTTTCTACACAGAAACACATCTGATTGAGTATGTTTCTCTGGAAAACTCAAACATACAAAAACATACATAGAAATATTTATTTTAGCTGAAACTTAGAGACTTTTCAGTGTAATATTTAATAAAATTAATGATTTTCTCAATTAATTAAAGTTAAAATTAAAGTTAAAAATGGGATTTTTTTTTTTTTT